CTGAGAGGGGACCTGGTGGCTGTCTATAAACTTACTAGGGGGGACCAGTGGGGAATGGGAGAGACCCTGTTCCCCTAAGTGCCTCCCGGAGTAACAAGAAATAATGGCCATAAGTTGTTAGAGGGTAGGTTCAGACTAGACATTAGAAGACACTATTTCACAATCAGGGCAGCTAGGATCTGGAACCAACTTCCAAGGGAAGGCTTGACGATTACCTAGCTGAGGTCATTTGAGCCCAGTTTTCTCTCCTGCCCAGGGCAGCGGGTCAGACTAGAAGATCTGCAAGGTCCCTTCTGACCCTATATCTATGAATCTATGATGAGCAAATTTGAGGGCTAAAACTAACACTCAGGCAAGTGGATTTTTCCTATTTTGCCTTAAAACTTGTGACTGAAACGCTAGACATTTTAACTGTGTTGCCATCCTTTTCTGTGGCATTCCAATAAACCAAATGAAGCAAGAGTTAAAGGGTGTTTTAAAGTCAAATCTTGGACTAGCTGTCAAAGTGTATAGGTAGGCATTAGATCACACACACTTTCCTCTAATTTTAAGGAACAGTAGGAGATTATTTGATATGGTTATAGATGAGTTCACCTTCCTGAACTTTCATTGTCTGACATTCAGTGTCATTGTTGAAATGCTAGTTAAGTCAAAAGTGTTTTTTGCTGCATGATTATTGGAATAGATATTGATGTTGTTGTTTAGACACTGGTTATAAAATAGCCTAAAATGATGCTAATATTTCTGGACTCCTCCAAAGAAACCTTCTCATCTCTTTGCAGATGGGTTTGATAGCATCCTATGCTCTGTGGGCCATCTCTAGGAGTTTTGGGATGTTTCTCCTTTCCAGAATTGTAGGTGGAATAAGCAAAGGGAATGTCAGTCTCTCAACGGCTATAATTGCTGACTTGCACTCTCCAAAAGCACGGAGCAAGGGAATGGTGAGTTACAAACATGGGCTATTGCATTAGATTTCTGGGTAACTTTCTAAATCAATTTCAATTACTTGTTATTTTTTCCCTCAGTTGTGTGTATTTTCACTGATCAAGTGGTAATGATGACTTATGTTTGTTGAGTGCCTTTCTTCCAGGAAGGTGCCAGAGCACTTGACAAACATACTTACTAAGGAGACTGACTAAGGAATCATTTAGTCAACAAGTAAAATACAGATGTCTCTGAGTTGGGAAGCAGCACTTGTGTATTATTGTTGTGATGGTTAACCTTAATAGTATTGGAAATGAAAGGAATTTGATTTAATTGGAACTATAAGGCAGACTTTTGTAGGCAGAAATTCTTATCTCTACAATAGATAAATGTTGCATGGGGAAAATGTCAAGAGAAGTTTAAATTACGTAATACCTATTGTTGATGCAGTGCTTTCATTTTCAACCCCCTTTTCAGATAACAGCCCTCTCTATACCTTGATATGATAAGTGAGCCAGTGTTTCAGTTCTTATTCCTGTGTCTGTCATCACATTGAAGACAGTGGGGTCACGGGGTATAAATTAGCAAAGTATGTAGCATGTTTTTTTCATCTTAGCAAGCTCAAGCTTCATTCTGGTGCATCAGTTTCATAAGGCAGTAATGTGTCTAGGGGAAGAGGACAGGGTACCAGCTTCAGGTGCCAATTTTAGAGGAGGTGCCAGACTGGCAGCCACCAGGGAGCCTGTGCTGTGGGGCTGCTGCAGCCAGTGTGTGGGGAGCCCATGTCACCACCAGAACAGCAGCCACTCCCTCCCCTTTGCTCTCCCTTCCCAGTGTGCCAAAAGAGATCATTACATCCCTGTTAGGGTGATGGAGGGATGAGAGATGCTTATTGAGTCACCTTACTATTTCCTGTATCACTTCCAGTTTTTCTTAGAAACCTCCGACCTGAATTTTAACCTAATTTAAGCCTGCTCACATTATCTAATATGTATCTGGGTATTGCAAAAGAAATGCGAGAGCTAAGACACTTTGTTGGTGCTACCTATGATGTACGGACACCAGCTGGGCTCTGAGCAGCTCTGTAATCTAAAAACCCATCCCATGGATAAAGGATCCTAGATCTGATTTGGGTGAACAGTCCTGGGACTTAATAAAGCAAACAATTGCTCTGGGCATTGCCCCCGGCCCCATCTCCCTTATTTCATAGCAGTCTCTAAGTAATCTCTGGGGGGTGGTCTCTGGACATTCTTTAACAATGTCAAAAATTACACTGTATTTTGTAGAGATATTGCCCCTCTTATTATGTGTCCGGTCACGAAAGCTTCAGTTCTTTCAGTTATCTTTACCATGTCACTCATGGCTGTTTGCCTTCTATTCACCACTTCCTTCAAGATGGTTACAGAGAGGTTTTTTGGTATTTACTTCCTAGATGTAACAAGAAACAAAACGGCTTTAAAAAAGACTCTTTGAATTGGGAAATAAAGGAGCTTAACGTCTTTCATCTGCATAACTGATCTCTCTTTATGTTGCATTAATACTTGGCGCAACAGTTTGGTTTCCAGCAGGATACAACAGACCTGATGGTTATCAAATATCACCAGAAAAAATCAGTACTTAGTCATGAAATAACCACTGTCTAAAACTGCATATCAGTGTTCATTGTATTTCCGCAGGCAATGATCGGTGTTGCTTTCTCCTTGGGTTTTACCCTGGGTCCAATGATTGGAGCTTACCTGGCTATGGAGACAGGGAAAGGAGAAGTCTTCTACCTTCGGTCAGCCCTGTTGGCTCTCATGTTTGCTGTGATGGATTTAATTTTCATCTTTTTCCTGCTTCCAGAGACACTCCCCAAGGAAAAGCGGGTAAAATGAACTATAGTTCTGAAAATCCATGTTTTCTACAGATAAGAACAGGCTCTGACCATCAATAAATTCTTATCGGTGGGATTGGAGCAGAAACCCTTATTTATTTAACTGCTTGGAGATTTAATTTGCTTTTTAGAGCTGGGCTTAACCCCATGCCACTTTGTGGTGACCATACATAGTTACTGTGATATTCAGTCATATCCCACCACCTAGATACTACAGTTCATAGGAAATGTTCACAGTTGCCACTTAATTACTATTAGGTATATTAATTCTGAAGAGATTGATAGGAGACTCCAGACTGATCCTGGCACATTGGACCATCTCATGGTGACATAATCTAACCTCTAGTGAAGAGAATTTCAGATGGACATATTCTACTTTTAACCAGAAAAATGAAATAAAACTTACTGAAAAAACATGGGTAAGCCCAGTGAGCCAAAATGTGCCACAAATAGTTTGTTTTCGTGAACTAATTAGGGTCCAGCTGCCACTAGCAGTCTGATGTATTGTCTGTCTACACTTACAATGTACCGAATACTTGTGATAGCTAAGCATGAGGCAGATCTCTGAATGCTGCTGTGGTAAGGAAAGGTGGACATTTCCCATGAAGGGTATGCAAGGCTTCCAGCGTTGAGTGCATTGTTAGTTCTCCATTATAGCTACACCAACATCTGATAAACACTGGGTAAAACTTTCACTAGTGACTTAGGACACTGAGTGTGGATGAGACTTCATTTCAGTGAGACTTAACATGATGGCTCCATTTTTAAATGTTTAACAGCACCTACAGATAGCAAGATTTTAAAAATAGGTTTCAGTGCCTAGATGCTTGTGAGAAACTGCTCTAGGTGCTTGCCTTTGTCTTAGGTGCTGACATACTTAAAGTCTTATTGAAGTTACTAAACCACTTCTGAAATTGGGTCTTAGGCTCTTAGTAGTAATAATATTAATACTATCAATATTATTATTAAGAAGAAGAATACTTTCTCTAACTTGCATGCTTTTGAAAGTTACAAAACAGATTGATTAATTACAAAACAGTCTTCTGCTGTGGAAGAAGGTTGTAATAACTAAACATTAGCACAGGATCAGGATCTCTGGCTTCTAAACAGAAAATCCCCATCTCCTTGCCTGACACCCTTAATAAAGGTTTGAGAGCAACAGGAGAATATTATCTTTTGCCCCAGAGATGCTATGTATAGAGACAGCTAGAATTCAGCAGTCGGCTTTGGCTTGTGAGGAATAACACTGGGTAGTGTTTTTAACGATCAAGTCATTTGAAGGATTTCTGATAAAATTCTACAGAACAGTTTCTTTTCAAAGTATGGGGGTAAAGTCTCCTGAGACTGAGACTTATGTACTGGACCAACCTCTTGCCATTAGGGCTTACAATGGGGACTGAATCGGGTTTATTATCTGACTCTTTCCAAGCAGTGCTTAGCTGTTTGAACAGTCCTTCCATTTGTGAAGCAGACGTGGAAGACACTGTAGTGGTTATTGTTAGTTGCTAGTTGGAGAATCTAGTGTGCTGAAATGACCAGACCTAGGTTTATTGTACTACTGCAGTCAATCTGGCTTCTCTTACTTCTCTCATCCATTAAGATGGGGCAATGTTTCCTAACCAACCAGAAATGATGGCAATATCTGCCAGTAACTCTTCCTATATATCTCCAGTAGTGAAGAATCTAAAAATAGTCCCCAACTATGAAATTTATCAGTTATAATGGAAACTATAAACTTCAAAATGCTTTTCTCTCTCTTGGTCAGGTGCAGCTTGAGCCAGCCGTTTTAGCTGTATGATCTTATTTTTGATGGTAGTGGTGCTGTGTCCTCTGCATATTGTTGGCACCCGAGTCCTTATTGCCTGGGCAGCTAACTCTGGTTGCATGGTGCTGTTTGATATGTATATTACTCTCAGGTCTAGGAGCATCCATTATGCGTCAGAATCCAGTTGCATCAAGTAATGCACAAACACAGGACAAAAGATGTCCACTATCGAAAGACTGTACAGTCAAAGTGTATGGCAAAAAACAAGAGGTGATACAGACAGATAAGAAGCCTCAGGTAACAAAGATAGTATCGGCCAGCCTGATAGCGTTTTGAAGAAATCAGTCCATTTAAAGTTAATCTTTATTTAATAGTTCCTGTAAAGCTCCTCACCTTGATTTTAATATCCACATCCTCTGCTGGTGAGAGAGCCTGATCTGGGGAGGATTAATCTTGTGAGATCATGCAGAGCTGTGGTTCAGGTGGCAGGAAGGGTAGATGAAACCCTAAGCAGGACATGTTCCCTTCAATAAAAAACTGGCAGCTGAGAAATAGCCTGTATTAACAGAATGCTCTGGTAAGGGTGCTTTTCCCTGCTTCCCCAATAGGTGTCAGTAGCTGGTTGCAAGGACTGCAGGTACCAAAAAAGAAGCATAACATGCTGTAGCGTTGTTGGTTGTAGCTGTATTGGTCTAAAAACACAGGCAGACAAGGTTTTTTGGGTAGATTTTATATCTTTTATTAGACCAACTAAATATTTGGAAAAAATGTTCTTTGCAAGCTTTCAGGCACAAATGCCCTTCTTCAGGTATAGGCATAAATGCCCTATGCCTGAAGAACAATTTTCCAACTATTTAGTTGGTCTTATAAAAAATATCACATCTGTTCAAAGAACCTTGTCTACATAATGTGCTGTGCTTTTGTGATAAAGATATTGCACATGCTTAATCACGTGAGCACACTGCACATGCTGTAAAGTTTTGCATGTAAACTGTGTAGCCAGATTCATACATATGAGGAGAGGGCCCGAGGCACACAGCTAAGCAAATAAAATCATTTGCATCTACATCTGTAAAGCATGGGGCATCTGACTGACTGAGGAAAGAAAATATTTTAGTAGTTAAGGGCCATGATCACAGTTTGGGCCTCTCATTGCTACTGTAATACAAACAGTAATGCAGGCCTTATAATCAGGGATCCAGGTTTTTCTGTTTGCCGTGGAAAAATGCAGATTTTTTTACTTTAAAAGAGAAAAATGTGGATTTTTTACTTTAAAGGAGAAAATTCCAGGAAACTGAGGTTTTCCCCTTGTAGGCTAGCAGAGTTCCAGCTTCCAAGGGGCTTCTTGGGACTGGGGGGGAATGGGACACGGGGTGCCACGTCCGTGTGTGCGCACACATGCACATGGGAGCCAGGCAGTGTGGTGGAGAGTAGCTCGGGCAGCTCCCTCCAGGTAAATCTATGGGGGTGGGGGCACAGGTGATGTGACGCAGGTGGGGGAGCAGAGGCCATGTGATGGGGGGCAGGGGAGGCATGTGACCCCCGAGATTTCTGCACCCACAGTGGGGCACGGGGCTGCAGTGGGGGTTGGGAGTAGGGGGCAGTGGGTTGTAATGGCAGGGGCAGGGGGCTGTGGGGCAGGAGTGAGGTGGTTTGGCTGTGAGGGGCACTGGCAGGGCTGGGGGCTCTGTGGTTTGGGAGTGAAGGGCAGGGCATTGGTATATCAGGGCTGCTAGGAACCACAAAGCAGCGGGGGGTCAGCTGCAGCTTGGACCCACATTCTGATGAGAAAAGGGGGCGGGGGGAGCTCTGATTTTTTCCATGATATAAAACCAAAATCAAACTCCAAAATATAGGTTTTTAAAAAAATATAGAATTTTTTTCATTATAGAATTTATTCTATAAAATATATATTTTTAAATTTTATATTTTAAAAATTATATATATTTATGCTATTCAAAATATAGAATTTATTTCATTGTAATTATTGAGGCACTGGTAGGTTTCCAAATTGCTTTTAAATTGTAAGTATGTCTATAAAACATTGTGTTCATATATATATATAGTGGCATTTAATTTTTATCATGGAAGACTGTGGATTTTAGCTTTTAAACCAGAGAATTGGGCAAGGGGTTGGGGGGATTTAAATCAGAGAATTTGGGATTTTTAAACACAGAAAACCAGGATCCCGACTTATAATTAAGGGGAGAGAAACTGAGTAACAGGAAAGTGAGTATTCCTGGTTTGAATACTCCTCCAGTCCATTCCTAATCGCAAAACTAGCAGAGGTGATGCATTTGATGCTCTTGATGCTTATCCTGGCTTCTGGAGGCAATGGCTATCAACTAGTAACCCAATTCACAGTTTGTAAGAACTTGGTGATATGCTACCAACTGTATTTAGAGTTTGTGTGCCCTTCTATGTGGACAGTGCAGACTGCTCTTGAAATCAAATTTGTGGTATCAGGTCTAGTTACAGGTTTTGTCCTGTGTCCTGCTTTTGACACCATATTTTTGTTGTTGAAAATGTCCACCTTTTGGCTACAGAGCCAGGGCCAGTTCTGAAGCACTGATTCAAAAGGTTTGGGATGTTGTCAGGGGTTGTATGAACCCATGGTCCCAACTAACTCTGCTGCAGCTCATGCAGCCCATGTTTAGGCGCAGTCATCTTTTTTTTTGGCTGTTGCCTGTAATTCCCCATATGCCTGTGACTTCCTCAGCCTTGAGATGGATTTCTTTCTGTCGTTAGGTGTCCTCTGTGACATCTGGATTCCAGGCAGCAGTTGACTTGCTCAGTCCCCTGGCTTTATTTCAGTTCTCTGCAGTCACCAGAGGAAAGGACTCCCCTTCAAAGGAGAGTAAGTGCTGTTTGGCTCTTCACTTTGTGTTGTACATGTTCCCTGGGGCAAGAGCGAGTGATGTCTTCATTCAATCACTTTATCTTTTGTTTTGACCATTTCAGTAGCTCTAATTGTTCAGCAATGAGCAGGAATCACAGACAGAGAACTTGGTTAAAAATGATTGGACTGTATGTGTGTGGGTGGGGGGTTGGGCTATGAAAGATAGAGAGAAATGATCTCCTTGGCCCATTTCTGTGACCAGAGGGAAAACACTGGTTAAAGCTATTCTGTGGTGTGTGGCACTTGCAGATTCAGTATGAACTGCTGAGAAAGGTCCCATCCCATGCAGTCCACGTAAATCAGTCTAGATGTTGCTTTTGTTGTTTTTAAACAAGGTGCTTAGAAAGGAGCATCACAGCCTCTCTCTCTTTTATTTAGACCTTCAAAACCTCAAGGTCCTGGGTCTAGCTTATTTCTTGTATCTCTTCCTGTTTTCTGGTCTGGAATACAGTCTGAGTTTTCTCACCCACCACCGGTTCCAGTTCAGCAGGTACAGTGTGCTAACAAGAAGGGCTTCTCTGGCAATTGTTTTCTTGATAAGAGGCCCACTTGAGGCATCTCTTTCATTTTCAAGAGAGTTGTTTAGTGATTAGATACACCAAGATGATACAAAAGGACATTATGCAATGTGCATTTAAGGATCATTTGCTTTTCTTTTGTGAGCCAGAAAGAATAGATAAAATACAGACTCCCCTATCTTATCAGGAAAGCAACTTCTCAGAAATGCTGATTTGAGGTTAAAAAATGTTGATGTGTAGAAATTAAATCATAATTGCTACAAAATGCACTGGTGAACTTGTGCTCAAGTGGCCTGACTGTATTGATTCCTGTAAGGCTCCTTGGAGAGCTTTTCTGCATGGGTAGAAATGTCAAGGCATAATGAAGATGGACAGGGTATGGCATTCACTTGGCATAGCTCTGTATTACACGCAGCGTGCAAAGAGTTAGGTAATACAGCTTCTGATGTTCATTAGCCAAATCCTATAGAAGAGAATAATAGAAGCAAGGTCTGTAAAGTAGTTAAGTTTGAAATATCTGTCCTGCTAGCTTGTTTAAAGAGTCCCAGCTTGAGGCCAGTTCTCGAAGCCTTTATTCCTCAGTAGTCCTTGTCTGGCCCTGTGGGTTCCTGTTAAATTCTGTTTCAGTATGTGCTCTCTGTTCCTGTATTTCCTTCACTAGAGTTCATGATTTTTACTAACCTCATCACGTGTTGTTGGAAACCTTTCCCTTTCTAAAAGCCTGCGGCTGCTGCACTTCACTTAGGGTGCAGGAAATATCCAGTAGTGGAATATATTGCTTTTTATGACCACGTGAGAGTGCTACAAAAGTAGCCTTGCATGCTTGAATGAACTGGTCAGGAGAGATCAACGTGTTATGTAGGTGAGATCTCAAGCTAAAACCATCCAAATAATTCATAGTCACAAGAGATGAAGAAGAGGGAGCGGTATCTCCAGATCTGTAACGGGTGCAGTTTTGCTTTTAACTTTAAATATGTAGTGGACTGAAGTTCAGCTTTCCACTAGAGAGCATTAGGAAGGGCCATGATACAACACACTTCTCACCCTCACTTCTACAGGCCACTGCCTGAGCTGAGAGGCCAGAGACTTTACAAAAACACACAGTGGCAGTTACAGTTTTGAGGATGTGAAACACTCGTCTTCTGAAGACGCAACTCGCATCCCATGGGCTACCCATAGCCATCAGAATGACTTAGTCTCATCTGTTACAGCTTGGAGTGTCCAGGTATCAGCTATCTTCAATATACCCAAGCTAGGTAGAGAGCAGCAGGGTGCAGCAGTAGACCTCTGTTTCATTTACCACCTGGGCCAACTTAATTTTTTTAATTGGTAACTGCAGAGGTGATTGACCATATCTGAATGTTAACAACCCTCAACTGCTATATGGGCATCTACATGCACTTTATCTAGCATTTTTAATTATGCTGGAGCTGTGGATCCCAGTGGAAATTGGTGTATAATCTGTATAATCTGTGTTTTTTGCCTTATTTTCAGCATGCAACAGGGCAAGATGTTCTTCTTTATTGGAATAACAATGGCCCTGATTCAGGGAGGCTATGCTCGCCGAATCAAGCCAGGATGTGAGATCAAGGCTGTGAAAAGGGTATGTTTCTCTTTTAAATGTACAGTACTTATTCCCTCTTCTTTCCCACACTGCTTGGCCATGTTCATTTTTAATTTGGAGACGCACCAAAGTGTGGTGTTAGATGTAACTGTATTTGTCAAACCAGGGAGGATGAAGGCGCTTTCATTTGCTTTCATCTAAATGGATTTCCTGGGCCTTTTCTTGATGCTCCTAATTGAATGGGTATAAATTATTCCATTAACACAATAGTGCCACTTCTCAAGCATGCAAAATTTTGAGAGACAGTTTCTTCCAGGCTGTGTGTTCTAATGTTAGTGAAACGCCAAGTTCTTTGTAGTTGCTGACTCCATAGGGAGTTACACTTGAACCTCTGTGTGAATTGGACTGAGTGTCATGGTGTCATAGATTCATAGATTCATAGATTCATAGATTAA